AAAATGCTTCATTCATCTTTACTGCAGTAACACTATCATATGGCATTCACTTGAAGTATCCACATATGGAGATTAAGCTGTCTGACGTAGTTTGGAAAGAGAAAATAGTAGAAAACAGAAATTACAACAGAATAATGGCTAAACTTAAGATAAAATTGAAGTTGGAACAAGGTAATAGAATTTAGGGTTCTCAAGAAACCTCTAGAATCTGAATGGATTGATAAAATAACAAAGAATTATTTTAGCAGCCTATCTATATTGGTTAAAGCCCTACATCCTTGTAGGTAAAGGATTCCTAGTCTTAGTCTCCAAGTTAAACTACTTGGCCTCTAAGGAAATACTTTAAAAAGTGGCATGCTAATCACATGGCCCTAGATTAATTAAGTTGCCCTAATAGCAGAATTATAATAAAATAAATTGTAAAGAAAGCTCCTGCATCACTGTCATTTTGAAATATTATTTTCACTAAGAATTTTTAATTCAACTTTAAGTTGTTCCTTAATCTTTTTGCTGTTCAGAGTATTAGGAATGATTTCAAAATCTTAGTTTATCTAGAAAAACAAGATTTGTTGGCAATACGGTGTTTTAGATGAGAAGATGCCCTTTGCTTGTTCTTGAAGTGATCATTAAGATCATGTGAAAATGGATTAAGAAGTTACTGAAACATTTCCTGGAAGAAATAAGCACTTAGATTTTCCTGTAGGCTGTACTTACTATGAAGGCAAGACCACCCTGCACCAGTGGAAGCTTTTTTAATTTGTCTTTGAAGGCTGAAAGATATTTTTTTCAATGGTTTGTTTGCAACGACTTAAAAGGGTCAAGGAATTTAAGAGTTCTTGAAGGTTAATGACCAACATCAACATCAATATTCTATTTTTGAAAAATCAACAAGTGTGATATGTTAAAAGAGCACTATTAGATTTTACTAAATTTATGTAACTAACTGATGCAGCAGCTTATGATGGATTTCATATTCATTAGTCAATTCTATAATGGTAAACGTCGCACTATCACTTTTAGAGCTATGTACTCTTTGACCATGCATTCACGCATAACACATGGCTATTTAAGCTATCTAATCAGTTAGTAATCAAGTGCTTGTAAAATTGTTAGTTTATTTTGGCATTGCTTAATCCACTTGATTCCTCTTTGATTTGGGATTTCTACAATTTCTTTATAGCACATGTTTTTCGTTCCCTAAAAATAAAACTCTTGAATGACAAGTGCCCCATCAATTAGTAATCAAGTGCTTGTAAGATTGTTAGTTCCTTTGGCATTGATCCATCCACCTGATTTCCTCTTTGATTTAAGATTTCTAGAATTTTTTTATAGCATATAAGGACCAAGGATCTGTGTAAATAAGAGTTGCTTGTTTTGCCTCGATACCACAGAAGCTTCTAATCAAAACTTGAAATGGAATAGTAACAAAGTGAAGTAGATGTCTCTTAGTAGTCATACACCTTAGAGAATAGCAAATATTGTAACTAACACTCTGTCCATCTCATAGAAACTGTACTCTTTGACTATGCATTCACGCATAATAGAAATGGCTATTTGAATTATTTAATCAATTAACAGTAGGTAGATAAAAAGAATCAAGTCATCCAACTTTTAATGAGAGGAAAAATAAGAAAGCAGAGTGATGCAGACAACAAAGGAAGCAAAACTCGTGTCTTTTTGCAGACAAGGATATTTCTGTAATTTATGAAAAAAAAATTTAAATTTGTCAAAGTCCAAGTTTTATTTTCTATTTAGTATTTTATTATTCCCAAGGAGTAATTAGCTTTATTATGGTTTTCCTATTCTACATAGACTTAGTAATTTCTTATTTAAGAATCTAAGTCCTTAATGGATTTGGACTACTAGAACTCTATAAGTAAGCATGTAGTTGTTCCATATTTTGAATGAAGTTTATGAATAAAATTCCAGCAATTTGCTTTTGATTGTGTGACTCAATCTCCCATAGTTGTGACTCCTAAAAACCCTAGGTGTGAAGCTTATGTTTTTATATCCTCTAGGTGTGACTCCTAGAATTCAACTTTCTTAACTACCCCTGAACAGCCTCCAAAAATTAGATCCATAACAGCCCTCAAATCTGCCCTGCATCACAGAGCAATGGTTTGACCTTTTAGAGTGGACATATGGGGCAAACTAAAAAAGGGAAGGACTCTCCTTCTGGGAAAAAAATTCTTAGGTGATCCTGCTTCACCATGAGCTCACTCACTCAAATTATGTGGGACCAAATTGATTATGGGACCCACCATTTCAAAGTGTGGGTTAATGGTGAGCTAGGCTCACCTAATAAATTCTCCCTTGCATAACAGGAGGGAATGTTGAATGATCTAACTCCAAAAAAAAAAAATTCTATATTAAATAATTTCTGAATTGACTTGATTACAAATAAATGGATAATACCTTCAACTCTTCTTTCCGGGATTGCATCGTGAAGCTGGAGGAAAGCCAAATAGAGAACTCGGTTGCTCAAATAGGAGCAAAGAAAAAGGTTTGCTGAAACATTAAGAGTAGTCCCATACTTAAGTCCAAACACAGGAAAATTGATGTTTCCATTGTCACAGAGAAAATGACATTAGAAGACCTTGTCTAGACTCTAGAGAGAAAGCAAAAGGTGAGTCGGTATCTGTAGCTCTTTAAAGGAATGGTGCTTGATTCTTCCATTTCTTTCAAGAGTGATTCCTATATTCTAATAGAGATAGTCAGCCTAACCAGGAATATTTTTGTTGGGAAAAAAAGCAAGGCCGTTTTTCATGCAGGTAAAAGTTGACTTAGTTTTTCAATTGTATTATGAGGACTTAGGACCATTGAAGCTTTGCATGTTCACTGATTGAAGAAAAACCTTACTTGCTTGAGTACTCTATATTCTGAGGAGGCATGAATGTACTCCAGATTCTAGGTTTTTTTAAAACGTTATCATGACGGGCTGGGATGTGTAAGACGAGGCATGGTTTCCTATGTTAAAAATTTTCCTGGTGAAATTTTTTCGTCACCTCTGTCGAATGGGTTGTTTCCTCCTTTCTCTATTTTCTATTTCATTTTCTAATATTCACTCATCTCTATTTTTACCCTGACTTTAACCTTATTACCTTTCAGTTTCTAGCCATTAGCACAAGTTGAGATCACATACAAACTCTTCATGTTTTTCTCTGCTGATTGAATTGACTGGTTCAAGATCATTCTCTTTTCACACCTCTGGGTTTGAACCCTGTGAAATGATTAGTCTCTGTTGTATTTGTTATGTTTTTCACTTTTCCATATCTGGATTGCATCTCAGTGTTGCCTTCACCAGGTCAAAGTTTGATTTAATATTGTCTGTGATGTGGGATATAAAAATTTTTCTTTTTCTTTAATTTTGTTCTCTTTTTTTATTTCAATTTCTGGAGAGTGTGATTTGCTAATTTAAATAGCTTGTCCGAAATTGTTTTGCAGGTTCCAGGATATGAAAATGGAAGTTTTGTTGGTCCTACAATCTTATGTGATGTTACAATCAGCATGGATTGCTACAAGGTATCTATTTCATGCTTTTGACCTCTTTTTGGCTTCAGAATGAATGGACTTGGATAACTTATGATTCTCAGTGGAAGAAGATTGAACCAAAGACCTTGCCATAATCTTGACAGCGATGTTTGTGTTGAGCAGGAAGAAATTCTTGGGCCAGTCCTACTCTGTATGCAGGTAATTTTCTTTTTTTCTTAAGACTGTTACTTTTGAGTGAATCCTGTGGGAATTAGCTGGAGAATGGTTTAACAATCTCTTTTGTTTGATCACCAACAGGCAGACAGCCTAGAAGAGGCCATAACCATTGTAAACAGAAATAGGTACTTATTTTAACTCTACTCTCTTAATCCTCAGGCCTCCATTAGAATGTGTCTTATATGTTTGTTATCGTAGAAACGTGCTTTTAATGCAGTTTTCAAACATGCAATCTTTCCTCCATTCTTGCCAGCCTTGATATACCACACAGACATTTTCCTACATATTTTTCTTGAGTGTAGATCGTGACAAGGAATAGTTTTGACAGTCAAAACCTAGCAAGGAATTGGAACTTTCTGAAATATATTTTCTGCGAAACTCTAGGAGCAATAGAAGTTTTAAGTTGATTTATTTTATGTTGATAGTTCAATATTCACACATCCAAATATCTCCTCAATTAGTCATAGTTCCTGGAATACTTACCTTCTTTGGATTCTCATATCCATGCTTTCAAAGGTACAGGAATGGAGCTTCCATTTTCACTACATCTGGTGTCGCTGCAAGGAAGTTCCAGAATGACATCGATGCTGGGCTGGTAAGCCAACATTTTTCCATATGGTGTTTAGGGATGAGGATTGCTTTTGTCAAAATGTGTCTTGAAGAACCACTGTTACTTTCTAGAAGATCTCCTTCGTCCTCGTATGGATAATGCCATTCAGGGTAGTAAGAGTCTTGATGGAGCAACAAGAGGGAATGGAAAATTTGACCGCAGCAAATGATTATGTTGTGTCGAATATTGTGATGAAGTTTTGTGTGGGATACCTTTGCTGAAAGTAAATGTTAGTTAGTCAGGAGGACTGGGTTCAAGCCTTTGTTGCCTGCCATGTAGGGATACAACAGAGGGAGAGCTTGTGTCCAACAAAAGAAAATGTGTTCATGATAGACTTCCTTTGAGTTTGGGTGTTCTCTGTAAGTGTCAACTACTTGTTTTGTTTTACAGGTTGGAATCAATGTTCCTGTTCCAGTTCCATTAACATGCTCCTCGTTTCATGAACCTAAGGCATCTTTTGCTGGCAATCTAAATATTTGCGGTATAATTCCTTCAAACCTTCACTCTCTCACGTGCACACACATTACATGGAGCAGTGGTTGAACCATTTATGAAATGCAGCTATGGAGCTCTCTTTTTTCTGTTTCTGCATGCAGGAAAGACAGGTGTGCAATTTTATACCCAGATTAAGACAGTTGCGCAACAATGGAGGGAGTTGCCTAGCATAGGAGTCTCACCCTCTATGCTTACATCGTATGAGATGGACATGACAAGTCGAGGGGTTTGTTTAGCATTGCCTCCATCTGAGAGAGATTCGCCTGGTGAGAGAGGGTCACCTGTTATGTCCCTAGCACCAGACAGGGATCCTCAGAGGCATAGAGAGCTGCTACGTGAGAATTTACCAAACTCAGGAGGGTCATCAGTGCTTTCAGTAACTGATAAGGATTTGTGCAGCCAGGAGGCATCCCTTGTTTTACCTCCAACTGCTGAGAAGGATTTACAGGAGGAGATATTACCCACTATACCTCGTGCATTAGAGAGAAAGCTATCAGGCCAAGAGATATCGCTAGCCACATCCCACACATCTGAAGGCTTGTATGTACCTGAACCATCTCAGTGGAGTGAAACTCCAACCCTAACATCTCAGAGGAATGAAATTATCTCTCGAACTTCTCAGAGGATCTGTTTACCTACTTCTCCGAGGAGCAACAATGTTGCCCCTTCTTCTAAGAGGACTGATGATGGTGCAATAGATTTAACTTCTGAGTGTCTATACTTGCCAACACCTGGTGAGAATGATAATATGGGTCCATCATTGCACAAAGATGGCAGTCTGACTCCAACCTCACGGAGGACTGACCCTGCTGTACGTCCTGCTTCTGAAAGGCTATATGATATTATAACTTCTCACTTCAGTGACGGTGTGGCCCAGTCATTTGGAAGGAACGATCACATGTTTCCAATTTCTGAAAGGGTTTACAGCACTACAACATCTCAAAGGACAGACAATATGATGCCAGCTTCTCAACGAGCTAATGCTATTCCGCCAACCACAGAAACTATGTATATGCCTCCAATTGTTCAGAAAAATAATGGAGCACAGCGAACATCAGAGAGGCCATATATGCCTCCATCCGAAAGGATGTATTCTGAGAGCACATTAATTTCAATAGATGGCTTTTCCGGCCAAGGGGCTCCAATGACTTTAGCTGCATCCCAGAGGATATAGGATACTAATAATGTTGTTTCTTTTCCCTTCAAGAAATTTGTAGACAATCTCAGAAAATATGAAGAAATTTTCTTATTGAACATTTTCCATGTGAAAAACTTGCCCTCTTTTGTATGTGTTGTGTCATTGTTTTTCTTTCCGATTGAAGCATTATCAGAAATTATATCAGTCTAGAATTGGTATGCACAAGATTCAAACTGAGATTGGATTTTCTGGGACGAGTCTCATGTGTCATATAGCTCAAGGCAATCAGTTTGCAACAGGCAGAGCTCTCAATTTCCACGGATTATTTTGATCTATTGAAGGTATATGAAATGTTGAAGGTTTGTTTTTCAGAACTAATAATCTCATCTTATCCATTTAACGAGGAACAAAAATTTGCTACACCTGCTGCCTTGTATGTGGCGTTCTGGCTTGAACCCAGAAGTTTCGAAGATGAACACTGTTTGAGCCTAGAAAAATACTTTGCTTTTACGAATGTAACGTGAAAAACTATCCATGTTATTTAGCCCAAAACTCAACTTCTATTTCTATTACGAAGGATTGAAAAAAGATCACAATCATTATTACAAATCATGATTTATTATAATATTAAAATAACGATAATAAAATATTTAAAAATTCGTTGTATAATAAATGTTATATAACATATCAATTGTTATTTAAAACCACGCCCCTGTAAACAAAAACCAAAAACTTCAAGAGTAAGGCTTTTGTTATAATTGCTGTGGGGGTGGTCGTCTTAAGTCTAATAAAAAATAGTTGTGCAATTTGGCCCCTTCCCCTCCAAAAGCAAGAAGAAAAAAAATTCACATTTTTCTCTCCAGTCCTTTTAACTTGATTTATTGTGAAGTTAATCCAAATTCTGCCATTGGGAGTTGGGGAAGTTGGGGTTTTAGCCGGAAAAGCTGCTGATGTAAAATGTTCATAGATAGAAGAACATATTATTATCAGGGAAAGTGGTAAGAAAAAGAAAGAGAAATGCAGAGCGCATACGCATCCTGTTCCTGGGTACCAACTCAAGCTTGTGTAAAACTCCCAAGAAATTCAGAGGCAAGGCTAAAAACTAAAACCCATTATTGTTATTTGGATAATTCAGGCGAAGATGGTGGTGATAATTCCGGTGAAGCTCAGGTAAAATCAATAACAAGCACTTCAAACCCATTTGTGAAGCACTGTCTCAAGCTCCACCAAAGCTCTTCTTATCGACACTCTCATGCTTCAGTTCTTGTTGTGGGTTCTACCCCTATCAGGTTTTTCACTTTTGAAACTAATCTATAGCTTCTACTCCATTTGAATTTGTTGTCTCTGTTTTTTTTTTTTTTCTCATTTGGGGTGTTTTTTTATTCGTCAGCTTGCTACGTGTTACATTATTTTTGAATTGATGATACCATGATGATGATAATGTACAGGGAGATATTCATATCTCAGGAATCCTTGCAAGAAAGGAGCGTTGAATTGGAATATTTACTTGTTCTTGATAAAACAGAGGTCTCTGCACTACTCGGCAACAACTCGTCTTCTCGGGTTGTGCGTGTGAGCTCTGTCGTGATGAAAAAACTCTCACAGTTGCAATCTACTGAATCTGTTGATGCTATTGCTCTCATGAAATTTCCTACCACTTATTTTTTTCTACACAATCATCAAAACAAAGCAAATTGTTGCCAGAAATGGTTCCCATCTCCACACCGAATTTTAGTTCTTGAGGGGATCCAGGTTATGACAAAACTTATACATTTTTCGTTAGTACTTCTTAAAGTCTCTTATCTTTTCCAGTTACTTTACTGTTTTCGCTTTTGTTATTAGCCTACTTGATTAATAACTTGCTGAGTTGCTGCACGGCATCATGAAATTTTAAAATTTTCCTCTCATGGCATCAAAACAAACGAAGTTAAGTACATAGATAGATGGAATGTCATTACTGCTAGAATACGCTCATTGTCTGGTATAGTCTTTTTCCCTATGGAAATCACTAAATAGTAAACAAATAGCTGGGAAATACCAAGGGCCAAGCAGTTGCTGGAGCTCACTCATTCTTGCCTTCTTTTTCTTTGCATCGATTTTTGAAACCCAATTTCTTAATATTGCTAAACTCGGATATAATGACGCCGTCTAACTGAAGCTTTGATGTTTTGACATCATGTTAATCAGAGCTGTTTGTCATGATGCAGTCACACTATAATTTATTCTAGACCTGTGTACCTTTATTTACTTACTACTGTCATTTGGTTTGCTAAATTTTGGTTCTTCCTTAGATGATCAAGTGACGAAATGCTGTTTAATCATGTTATTGTGATTTAGGCAATGATATGAGGAATTGCCTGGGTGTATGCATTACTGACTTATGAGAGTCACTCACTGCAGGATCCAGGTAACCTTGGTACGTTACTCAGATCAGCTGTGGCATTTAGATGGGTAAGCACCAAGTGGAAATCTCAGTTACTCCCTCTCAAGCCTTTCTTTTCCCATTAGTTAAGCACATTCTATTCTGAACAACCAATATACATTAGCAAACCTCTGCTCTGAGTTTTCCAAGGTTTGTTGCGAAGTCTTGTATCCTTTACAGTTTACACTATGACGTCAATTACGATTGAACTCAATTAATGTTTCCCTCTGATGTTAGTTATCATCATGATAGATCAGATATTTGAAACTTTTGAGAATATTTTTCTCTCTATTTATGCACTTATCAGTTATCAACAATAAAATGGCTGCAGTCATTTGCAATTCTCCTATTCATTGTCTGAACTGGAGGTTATATTATGCACCCATGAAACTTCCCTTTGGACAATTATTACATCCTATGCATTCCTTAGATCAGATTCGTCCTGTTCATTGCTTAATTTGTAATTAAAAAACCAAAGGGCTAATATTGTTGATGATGGACAACAGGGTGGCGTTTTCTTACTTCCAGGCTGTTGTGATCCATTCAATAGTAAAGCCCTCCGAGCTAGCCGAGGAGCCTCCTTTCAGATCCCCATAGTTTCCGGCAGTTGGTATCATCTTGAAGCCCTCAAAGATGAATACCAGATGAAGATGCTAGCTGGCCATCCAGATTGTGATGACAAATTGAAACCAGTGTCACAGCTATCACAAGGTTTTGCAGATTGTTTTGCTGACGTCCCATTGTGCTTGGTTTTGGGCAGCGAAGGGCATGGCCTGTCAGAAAAAGCTCAACAGGAATGTGAGCTTTTGAGTATACCAATGGCAGGAGAGTTTGAGTCTCTCAATGTAGCAGTTGCTGGAGGTATTTTCTTATACATGTTACAGCCGAAAAACCAGAGAATTGTTTAGTGGATTTTATTTGTGATTTTCTATAGAGTCAAAGCTTCACTAGTTGCATAGTAATTAGATGTTGAGTAGTTGAGGTTTTTGCTGTGAAATTAGACTTTAGTATTGAACTTCTAAAGCCTATATGGTTATCTTTGACATTTTATCTTATGGTAATGATAAAACTTTTGTCCTGTACCCTCTATTTTTTTTTTTAGTGAGAAAGAAGGATGGATTTGGTAAGGAAGAAGGATGGATTTAGCAAGGAACAAGGATGGAAAGAATAAAATATTGGAAATTACAAAGGAAATTATAAAGAAATGGAAAGCCAGAAGTCGATCCATCTACATAGGAAAGATTTGATTCTTACTGTCAAACAAAGGATACACTCAATCTCTCATTCCCAATCCCTCACCTCTTAGACATTAAGGATGAAAATGATTTGTGTTTGATAGGATGAACAAGTCTTAGACGTCTAAAACAAATATTTCAAACCATCTACAAGTAGGTAAGGAATGTCCGAAAGAATACTGACAGCTTGCATGAATGATACTGAACAAACTTGTTAATATCGAACACAGTTGATGTCAATTCTACTTGTTTGGACTAGAGAAAGTTTTGTGGTCGAAATTATTTTAAAAGATTTTATGTATTTTCATTGTCAAGATTTTTCTATTTAGTCCTAGCGAAGGATCCAAAGTTCTAATTTCTTAATAAAAAAAGATTCATTTGTTAAAATTTATAAGTTTTTATAGTAATTGTTGTTTTATTTATTTGATGCAATCCTATGAAAAAATTATTAAGACTTTTTTTTCGAATTTATGTTAAATTTTTTATTTAGATTATTACAAATTTTTATTTAAGAATAAATATATAAGAAAAAATAGATCCTTTTTTTTAACAACAAGATTTATGAAAAACACAAAAAAAAAAAAAAAATTAAACACAAAATTTTAATTAAAAATTATGAAATTAGATGCAATTGAATGACGGCATTAACATAAATTTAATAAAAACACTTATTTAGAAAAAATATAAAATTCAGATATTCAAATAAATAAAAACTCAAATAAAAAAGTAAAAATTTCGCACGCCGAAATATTTGATGGTTTCTAATTTTCTCAAGGAACAAAATAAATTAGTTTCTCTATCTTTGAAAAAAAAATTAATTAGTCAAATTTTTTTTCAAAAATTAAGTATTTAATCTTTATATTCTTAAATTTTTATAACTTAACCCTTTTTTTCTTTTTCAATTTATCTTAATTTTTTTAAAAAAAGAAAAAAATAAATAAATATTATGAGAAAAGATAACATTTTATTAAATAAAATAATATGAAATTAAACTTTATCAGAACTAAATAACTAAATAAGTTTTTCAAAGAAGGAGAACTATTTAATTCGTTTGTCGACATCAGAGGGACTAATTTATAATTGACTCAGCTTTGACCAGATAGATCGAGGGGAGGTCGAAGCAGTAAAAAAAAACAGAGAGACAGAGAGAGAACACCACACCAGTTCACCGATCTGAAGGCTACTGAAAGCCCAAATCCTTCCTCCACCACCGGAACCGGCATGACGGCCGGAAATCTGTATCAACAATTACAGCAACAGCAACAAGTACCGCAATCCATGTGTTCTATGAAAGGATCCCTTCTCACTCTGTCAATCCTAACCCTAATCTCTTTCACTTACCTCTCTTTCAATTCTCTCCACTCCTCTTCTTCTCCTTCAATATCTGTACCTGTCGTTTCTCAAGTGCCAGCGACGGAGACGACAACGACGACCGAGAGGACGACTTCATTTCTTAAACATGACAAAGTCTCTGTATCCTATTCTCCTGGTAAAGCGGCGGACGATGATGAGATATCGGATCTGTATCATTCGCCAAGTGTATTCAAATTAAATTACGAAGAAATGGAGAGGAATTTCAAGGTTTATATATATCCAGATGGAGATCCAAACACATTTTATCAAACGCCTAGGAAATTGACCGGAAAATACGCCAGCGAAGGGTATTTTTTCCAGAATATCAGAGAGAGCAGGTTTCGAACTCAGGATCCTGATCAAGCCCACCTCTTCTTTATCCCCATCTCCTGCCATAAGATGCGGGGCAAGGTTTGTTTTATTTTTTATTTACTAATTCAGTAATTGTTGCTGTGCTGCTGCATCTGCATTGCACTAGTTTTGCTCTTAGTTTTTTGCTTTGAAACTCTTGGTTCAGGATTATTACTTGTTGCTGGAATTGTTTTGTCCATTCTCACGGCCTCTTTGGATTCAAACCCTGGATGATAACGTGGGGAGCAAAACCACTTACAATAATATTTCTTGATATTGTGGCTGATAAGCATTCGATAGATAGATGGAATATGTTATTGTTGCTTTTCCTTTTCCATTTGAGGCAACCCTTTGTTGATGATGGCGCCTTTTGTCTACTTTACTTGTATTGGCATATGCATGCTCAGCAATCTTCACTGCTCAAACAAATTGGCTATGACTGGCACGGTTTTCTTTTCTGATTACTAATTCAATAAATTGATGATGCTGCATCGCATTGTTGGTTGTTCTGATTGATTAAATTCCTTCAAACCTGAAATTCATTGTTCTGTGCAGGGAACTTCTTATGAGAACATGACCATAATTATTGAGAATTATGTGCAAAGCTTAATAGCTAAGTATCCCTACTGGAACAGAACATTGGGTGCAGATCACTTCTTTGTCACCTGTCATGATGTTGGTGTAAGAGCTACTGAAGGAGTTCCGTTACTTGTAAAGAATGCAATCAGAGTGGTGTGCTCCCCTAGTTATGATGTTGGATTCATTCCACACAAAGATGTCGCTCTTCCTCAGGTCCTCCAGCCATTTGCCCTTCCTGCCGGAGGAAACGATTTAGAGAACAGGTAATAATAAATGAAAAAAATCGACTTTATTATTCTGCTAAGCTTAGGTTTTATCGGCTCTGTTTTTTAGGATTTGTAAAAGCATAATTTTTTCCATTTATTTTGCTCCGTTTTTGTATAGCTTGTGAAGCATCGTTGCATTTTGTATGAGCAGCCATGTTTTGTGTGCACAATAGCAGTCATTTTCATGATTAATTATGGACAGTTAAAATTGAGAGTAATGTTTATCTCTCGTGGATCTTAGGTTTTTTTATTTACTCTCTTGATCTTGTAACATCTTGTCGTACATTGAGGACATCAACAAAATTCTTATTTTTTCAAGTGGACTCATAATATGAGTCTTTAGAGAAATAATAAATATCATGATTAGTATTTCACGAATAAGACACAATGGCATGAATGTTATTACGTGAAACTTTATGAGCATTTATTTTATGTATGTATTCATGTTTGATTTGTCAAAAGCCAAAAAAAAAAAGAAAATTGTGATGTGTAGCATCAATCGAATCTTTAACCTCTCTAACTTTGACCTTGTTTGCTACCTATTACCAAAGAAAAGAATTTTATATAAGCCCAAATATTTTGCAGTTTTGTCGCTTATTTTTGACGAAGGCTGCTTGCTGGAAACTTTGATACGGCGTTTGTGTTTGCAATTTTGTCCATGTTCATTCCATGAAAATAATTTTCACAGTTGTTCTTTGATTGACTCATTACCTGATATAGTTGCTGTCAATTGAGATATGCATGGGTGCAGAAAGGTGTTAGTTTTTTTCAACTGGATAGTTTAGCCTTATGTTCATTGGTTAACCACAAGAATGCTTTACAGGACAACTCTTGGTTTTTGGGCTGGCCATCGAAACTCTAGAATCAGAGTTATACTGGCACGTGTGTGGGAGAATGATACAGAACTAGATATTTCAAACAACAGAATAAATAGGGCTACTGGACATCTTGTATATCAAAAAAGGTTTTATGGGACTAAATTCTGCATATGCCCCGGTGGCTCTCAGGTTAACAGTGCACGCATAGCTGACTCAATCCATTATGGATGTGTTCCTGGTAAGTGCTGCAACTGTTGCAACTTTTTTTAATGGCCAAAAAGGTAATAAATATATGTTTCTAAAATTTCATATCTCAAGATAGTTTTGACAGATAAGAGTTACTTTTCTTGAATAGTTTTGACTGATAAGCATGTTAACTATCACATCTTCCATTTTTACTTCTCTTGCAGTAATATTGTCCAACTATTATGACCTGCCATTCAATGACATTCTTGACTGGCACCAATTTTCCGTCATACTTAGGGAGCAAGATGTATACCAGCTCAAGCAAATTCTGAAGGGCATACCTAACGATCAGTTTGTTTCACTGCATAAGAATTTAGTTAAGGTAGAGCCCTCTTGATTGCAACTTGAAACTTAATTCTTTTGGTCAGATTATGGATTTTTTTATCACTCAGGAACTTTGAATTGATTTGCAATAACTCACAAGAACTTACGCCATGTTTTATCAGGTACAGAAGCATTTCCAGTGGAATTCTCCCCCATCAAATATGATGCATTCCATATGGTCATGTATGATCTCTGGTTACGCCACCATGTGATCAAATACTAGTTGGTTAAGGGGCATAATTCCGGTTTCTTCTGTATATGCTCAAAACGTTTAACGCTAACAGCCCAAAGCCTGTAGATTATCACATACAAAACCATCCTCGATGCCCCTTCGAGCTAGGGAATTGGAGGACAAGTACTTTTAAGGTCCCATTTTTTATTTTATTTTTTCTGTCTTTATTTCACCTATTGTATATGTTTCTGACCCATGATTTCTCGTTCCATTATGTGGGTCTAGTTTCTTTTTGAATCCTCTTGAGGCACGGTAGAATTTAATATAGAACTTAAATCAAACCGGTGCAATTTTGTGGTCTAGAAAGATTACTGCTATGTCTTGCTGTTGTTTTACCAACGGCCATCGAATGCGCGTTATTTTGTTTTTTCTCTGTTTTTTTATTGGAGTTAATGAATTAACTTTATATAATAATCATATCGTTATATTCTTAATTGAGTTAATTTTGTCGTTAAATATATGTCGGGCTTTTACTCTCTTTTTATGATAAGATTTTTGAGTCAAATCGCCAGAATTAGTCATGTGAATTGAAGTATTAAGGTACATTTTCATATTTGATGGCTGATTACATTATAGAATAGGAGACTGACATTAGGAAGAAAAAAAAAGGTAAAAGGAGCAAAATAAGATAAATTTTAAAGAAGGAACCCATGCACCATTAACAAGCAATGATACTAATCCTAGATAGCGATAGTCAAATATTTGAGATTTTTATAGACATTATTATAATTATTTCTTTCCTAAGATAAATTATATTTACACACTTGAAGTTACTTAGGTTAAAAAAATCACAATCCGTTAGAGAAAAATTTTAGTAAAGAGAAACGAAAGTGTACGTGTTTTTGTCTTAACAGAGGGGGAGAAGGTTTGCATGGAACATAGATGCTCCGCATAAGAAGACAAAAAACAGTCTCATTCGGGTCGGTATCTAGACCCGGAGGCCGGCTTGAAGATGCTTCTGGACAAGGACAGATTTGATGTCCCAAAAGCTAAAAATGCTTTTCTTTCATAATATCACGAGTAGATGGGAGACTTTTATTTGTAATATATATATATATATATACATGAAAATCCATCTGTCAATAGACGACAACTACTTTGTAATCAAAGAGGACTATGGATTCGCACAAAAATCCAGAGACAATAAGTTCAAATAACTATAGATTAGCTGGAAAATCTCAGGAAAACAAAGATTGTTTTAAAAAAATTCTAATCTCTCTTTTGAACCAATGCATACTTTAACCATATGTATGTGGAATTTACATTGGTTTGATTGCAAGATAGCGATCGTCTCCTCCCAGATTAAGTCTTAAATATTGCATCCATCTACTTGAAAGGAGATAAAATTAATTGCTAACAAATTTAATGGCATATAGTGATGTCAATGAAGAAATCAGCTTTGATATATGGATTCATCTATGAATCTTTACTCATCTAGACTGCCTTTGGTTTTATATGTGAATTTCTACTCATTTAGACCATTTCTAATAGTGTTTTTATACCCTTCAAACTCTAAAATGTTACGAAATGAATCAAGCAAAAGAATAAAGTAGAGAAAATGAAAACAACCACACAATACAAAGATTTTTACGTGATTCGATAATGGTGTCTACTCCATAACTGCATTAGGATTTCTTATTAGGTTTTGTCAAATGATGACTACAAATACAAGTGATGTTGACTTTATTTATAATGTGAATAATTAGAGTTATAACAAAAAGGTCTAACATGCTTATGCAACTCGGTCCAATATTTTGTAGACCTTTTGGAAGCTCCGCTCCCAAGTCCCCATGAAGGAGACTCGCCTCCTTGACCTTCGCTCGTAATCGGCTAACGAGACCGTTTGCTACATTTGCATAGCACCTTATATTGAGAGTTAACTAATCAATTTTTATGGCCCACAATACTATTGGCTAGGTGTCTCTACTTAACCTACTTATCAATCAATGGCCGCTCAACAATCTCAAGGTATGTTAGAACACCAATGTTCTCAATATAACACAACTTTAATTAGATTTAGATTGGAAGATATTCAAATTGGTAAAGGAGGATAAGGTAGACAATCCTTCTTCAAATATTAGACATAGAGTCAACCCATGTATTCATTTGTTGGAAGAAAAAAATTGCTTATTTTTAATTTTCAAATAGAAAGTATAGTGACAATAGCTCTATTAAGTCCTTACACAAACAAATCACCCAACTCCAAGACAAGACAATCTATGCCTAGTAACTAAGGCTTAGGAATAAAAGCCAATAAATCAGTGACAACTCAACACTACATTAACGAGGAAAGAGAATGAAGGACTAAGTTATTAGCAAATTTAAGAGCGCAATGGCTAATTAATTATTTTTCTCAAACCATGGGGACTAATCAATTCATTTTGTTAACTATAATGACTAAATTATAATCTCTAAATACTAGCCCTAGCTACAAAAAGATAAGGAAAAAAAGTTATTCACACTAATGCACAGGGACATAAGTTGTAAGATTATTAAAAGCTTTACCCCAACCAAATACGATATATATATATTAACTCCTAAAAAAATATATAGCATTGGTAGTTTCAAATAAATCAGTTATTAATTCTCTTTGCCTAAAATATAGAGTAAAAGAAGTTTGTCTATTAATATTTATCATAAAAGGTCCAAGCCATAACAGATGATAAGATATACAACTCAACTACAATATAATTACTTTGATATAGCTAAATCTTTTAGGTACTTGAATATTTCCCAATTATTATTTTCCATTTATTATTATTGCTTCTATAAATGTAGTAACTAATAATCCAAACGTGTTACATAAGGCAAATTATGTATAATTGTTTGGATTTTGGCAACTGTTTCCATCTTTCCGTGTAAATAACCTAATATTGGTTTACAATCGGTAACATCTTCATCGTATAGACCAAGGATAAGAATAACGCCATGCGTGGATGGGTGATGAAGACCCATATTGATAATAAAATCCTTCTTTTTTTTTTTTTTTTTAGCATGTACAGTTATAGGTTTTTTTTTAATTAATTTATTTTTATTAATTACTGAAAAAAATGAATTTTTAATAGAGCGGTAAAACACATAAAGATAAAAAAGAACTCTAATGGTGAAAGCACTCTACTAGATTGACACTAACACAAGCTAAGAGAGTAGATGAGATTAGATTCCCCATTAATCATAAACATAAACAATGGATACTAGGTGCTGTAAACATTGAATACTTAACTAGCACATTAAGTACCCTGTCTACAAATTATGTTCACAAAAATGAAACTAAAAGGAATTGATGGGCATTACGTGCTTTTTGTTTTTAGGAGCCAATGATGTTGATTAATCTTAAGGCTAAATGGATCAAACTTCTCTGGAATTTTAACTCATTTGAAATTGAGTATCCGAACTTCAAATTTGGTTTTAAAATCTTTAAACTTTTAATTTTTTTGAGATTTAGTCAATTTAGTGATTTTCAACTACCACCCTCCCTTCTAAAAAAAAAAAACAAATATCAATTCTTGGTATTTTGAGCTAAATTTGTGCACACACATTGGAAAAAAAAATCAATTCATTTTATAGAAAAATCCCATAATTTTTAAAATTGAAAAGTATATTTGTTTGTTTTTAAATATTAAAAATATAAAAAATTGAAAAAAAAAGGAAATAATCCAAAAAGATTTCAAATTTTTTAAGGAGCTCTATTTAAATTTCACCGAATGATTTCTATCGTGAAACTATCTATGTAATTGTTATTTTTTGGGATAAATGACATAAAACTGAATGATGGACTAAATCTAAAAACATTATTTGATTTATTTAGCCAAAACTTAAATACCCAATCAATAACTAACACTAAATTAATGAAAGGATTGTCAAAAGATTATTTCAACTCAAAAGTTTTAACACATCTTCTCAAGTGAAAATCCTTTAAATTTAAAACTTGTATAGACTCATCGAAAGTAAGGAAGAGAAAGAGAAAGTAACGATGGTAGGATTCGAATTCTTAACCATTAGATTAACAAGATTCTAATATTATATCAAATAACTATCTCAACGTAAAAACTTAAATTGTTAAATGAAACTTCAAAATATAATTTATATTATTTTTTAATAAAAATGTTAAGAAAATGATGCTTACCCTCAACTATTCAATAGATTAACATCCTTTTGGAGGACTAACTAGTAGAAGTCGCTAATTTAACAATTGATGCTAACAGGCAGCCAAGGTGAAAAAACGCGAGAAGTTGAAGGTTATATTTGATTGATCTCGTGAGAAGTTGACAAATTTGGCAAGGTTCAGTACCACCGCGTGAGCATCTCTCCCTGACCCAAGAGTTTGACTTTCCCTGCCTGCATGCCTTCATCGCTTCCTCCTGCTATAAACTCCGTTATTCTTCTCTACGCTACTCTGATCCTTCACACATCTCTCGCCTTCTTTCCTCCAAAGCCAAAGCTATGGCGGTTTCTGCTTCTCTTTTTGTAGCAAACCAATCCTTTTCTCCATTCTTGAAGGCTCCTAGAACATCAAACCCTTGTTCTACCAAACAGGTAATAATAATGTTCTTCTTCCTTTGTGAATCGATTCCTTTCACTTTTTGTGATCGGTTCTGTTTTTCAGTTGTGTTTAAGAGCATCTGTCAGTAACCCAGAAGATTTCGAGGAAAGGAAATGGATAAAGAAAGAAGAAGATGGCTGGAAAATTGATTTCTCATCAGGAGAAAAACCACCAACGCCATTGCTGGACACAATCAATTACCCTGTTCACATGAACAACCTGGCCACAGAGGTAAAATGATCGGACCGTATCCTATTGTTTATGCTACTGTTAGCTCTTATCTAGCTGGACAGGACACCCCTTTTGTTGTTTTCAGATTGGTTGGTTGTTTCTGTTGACAATTTTTAGGATCTTGAACAATTAGCATCGGAATTGAGAGCAGAGATTGTGTATAGTGTAGCAACGACAGGGGGGCATCTTAGTTCAAGCTTAGGAGTAGTGGAGTTAGCAGTGGCGCTGCATCATGTGTTCAACTCCCCTGAAGACAAAATCATATGGGATGTTGGTCATCAGGTATATGTATATATGTACATATTCCTAAATTAGTGGGTTTCTTAATTGTTCAAAAGCCTAAGGTTCCTGGTTATGAATTTTGCAGGCATACCCACATAAAATTCTAACAGGAAGAAGGTCTAAAATGCATACCATAAGGAAAACTTCAGGTCTCGCAGGATTTCCTAAAAGGGATGAGAGTGTTTATGATGCTTTTGGTGCAGGACATAGTTCTACAAGCATCTCTGCTGGTCTCGGTAAATTTTTTCCTCATCAATGCACTATACTTTTAAATGACCCGAAAATTGAAGCTGATAGGTGACAGAATTCGTCTTACTGGCTAGAGCTATTTGTAACGATTAAAGATTTATTTATTATTTAGTTTTTAATTTCTACAAAACAAAAATGCAGGTATGGCAGTTGCAAGAGACCTCTTAGGGAATAGCAACCATGTCATTTCTGTAATTGGAGATGGAGCTATGACAGCAGGACAAGCATATGAGGCCATGAACAATGCAGGATTCCTTGATTCTAATCTAATCATTATATTGAATGACAATAAACAAGTATCTTTACCAACTGCAACTCTTGATGGTCCAGCAACCCCAGTTGGTGCCCTTAGTGGTGCTTTGACCAAGCTCCAATCAAGCACCAATTTTCGCAAACTTCGTGAAGCTGTAAAAGTAATTTCTTTAAGTTTCCATATTGATTTTTGCCTTAAAGTTTGAATTTCTTGCATCCCATTTCAATATCAAGAGATATCTGACTTGGGTTTTATATATTGAAGAGCATTACAAAGCAAATTGGTGGGCAAACACATCAAGTTGCTGCAAAGGTAGATGAGTATGCTAGAGGAATGATCAGTGCTTCTGGCTCTACTCTCTTTGAGGAGTTAGGATTATATTATATTGGTCCAGTGGATGGGCACAGCATTGAAGACTTGGTGACCATATTGCGAAATGTGAAAGCAATGCCTGCGCCGGGACCAGTTCTGATCCATATTGTTACTGAGAAAGGAAAGGGCTATCCTCCAGCTGAGGCAGCAGCTGATAAGATGCATGGTGAGACTGCAAATATATATTATCAGATCTTGTTATGAACTGTTGAAAGTACCCTCATCATTTCATTCTTTCAGGAGTTGTCAAATTTGACGTAAAAACAGGCCAGCAGTTTAAGCCGAAATCCTCCACACTTTCATATACACAGTACTTTGCTGAATCTCTGATCAAAGAAGCTGAGGCAGACAACAAGATTGTAGCCATTCATGCAGCAATGGGTGGTGGAACAGGTCTCAATTATTTCCAGAAGAAGTTTCCAGATCGCTGCTTTGATGTGGGCATTGCTGAGCAGCATGCAATTACATTTGCAGCTGGTTTGGCCACTGAGGGTCTCAAGCCCTTCTGTGCCATCTACTCATCATTCCTGCAACGAGGATATGATCAGGTGGGAAAAGGACAGTAGTTAATTATGAAAAATCTTTCATTGGAAAACTTTGCACTAATCTTTACCTTGGGAACAAAGGTGGTACATGATGTAGATCTTCAAAAGTTACCAGTACGCTTTGCCATGGATCGAGCTGGTTTGGTTGGAGCTGATGGACCCACCCATTGTGGAGCATTTGATATCACATACATGGCTTGCTTGCCTAACATGGTGGTCATGGCTCCATCTGATGAAGCTGAGCTGATGCACATGGTTGCAACAGCAGCAGCCATAGATGACAGGCCCAGCTGCTTCAGGTTCCCAAGGGGCAATGGGATTGGAACAACTCTTCCTCCAAACAACAAAGGAACCCCACTGGAGGTCTGAAAAGTAACTGGCATAATTGCATACCGTGAAACAGAGAACAGACAATTAAATGTTTTCTTTTTTCTTTTTTTTTTTATTATTTTTTATAGATTGGAAAAGGAAGAATACTGATGGAAGGCAATAGAGTTGCAATATTGGGATACGGTTCTATAGTTCAGCAATGTGCAGAAGCTGCAAGCATGCTTAAAACCCAAGGCATTTCTGTGACGGTAGCTGATGCGAGATTTTGCAAACCTCTGGATACAAATCTTATCAGGCAATTGGCTAAAGAGCATGAGATCCTAGTTACGGTGGAAGAAGGTTCTGTCGGAGGTTTTGGCTCCCATGTATCTCACTTCTTGAGCTTAACTGGTATTCTCGACGGACCACTAAAGGTGATTCTTTGTCCTACATTGAAATCTTATGCTTGTTTCTAGAATGCTGTTACTCTGTGTTCTTTCTTTTCTTTATTCTGGTACTAAGTTTTTTCAAGAACTTTGCCTGCAGTTGAGAGCAATGGTTCTTCCTGATAGATACATCGACCATGGATCACCTCAAGATCAAATTCAAGAAGCAGGGCTCTCCGCAAATCATATTGCAGCAACAGTCTCATCTCTGCTGGGAAAGCCAAGAGAAGCTCTTCAGTTCAAATGAACAAAAATGGAACTGATAGGTAGTGAAAGTGGTACGCATTCTTGAAAGGGAGGGGTGTTTGTAGACAATCAACTTAGAAATCTGAAGCTTGGACATTAATTTACCCTAGTGTTAGAGCTCTTTAAATTCTTCATACCCCATGAATATCAAGAATCCCGGTATTGGGGACGTAGGATTCAATCAAGTCAATTGTAGTTCCTGTGTGGTGTTCTACTGGTTTAATCATCATCGGAAAACAGAGGAAATTCTCTTGCAACATTTAGTAGCATTATCTTCTGAGTTCTGACCTCTCTTCTGTTTTCTCCGATATGAAAGTGGAAACATTTGGCCCCATTGAACGCATTAACTTCCATAAATATAGTCAGAACTCCCGATGAAAAATCATTTAGCAATCCCACATGATTAGTTATGGATAGCTCCAAGGAGCACATGCATGTATGTGTTATAGCAATAATGGATTGGCTACTAGCTGGAGATCCAGTTGTTATCAATTAATAAAATATGAAGAATAATCCAATTTCAGAGGTCCTAGGCCAGCAGAGCGAATGGCGGAAATGGCTACAAGAAATGGATGGCATAAATCCATTAAGAAAAAAAGATTCTCGTTGAAAATTATGGCATTGATACATTCTTTGCCATAGATAGTGTTTTCTATGTCTTCAAGACATCTTCACAACGACTATATTTTCTTTTGCCACAATACCTGCTGAATTGATCCAAAGTCGATCTAGAATCATGCTACGATAAGGCTGGAAGTCAATTATTTAAAGAATAACTTGAAACTGACGTGGTCCTATTTCTATGTTATTGTCAATATTACCTACCACGTCTAACTTAGTCTTCAAATTCTATCTCTTAACGTATTTTATTTATGTCAAATTATTTTTTATTTAAACTCTTAAGTTATTTTTCTAAATTAAATTAATTTTTTGAATTTTTAATTATGGTATCGTATTGAACCAATCGTCGGATTCTTTTATCGAAAGATACATCAGTTTAAACATCGGATCCACTTTTAAGTGTTGAAATATCCAATATGTCGGAGAATACCTTAATCATGCTATAAGAAGGTTGGAAGTCAATTATTTAAAGAATAACTCGAAATCGACGTGGTCCTATGTCCATAATATTATCAATATTACCTACCACGTCTAATTTAATCTTAAAATTTATCTCCTAAGATATTTTATTTGTATTAAATTATTTTCGATTTAAACTCCAAGTTTTTTTCTAAACTAAATTAATTTTTTTATTTTTGATTATGGTATCGTATTGAATCAATCTTCGAATTCTTTCGTCAAAAAACATATCACTTCAAATATCGAATCAGCTTTTAAGTTTCGAAATATGCGATATCTATGAGAATACCTGAACTGTTAAAATGATTTATTTTTTTAGTTAACAATATCCCTATTAGACAACATATCCACTCACCATTATGTTATCATGACGTATATGGGATGCATCGATTGGCAAACCGTTCAAGATGTGCTCTGGCATGGCGTCAAGGGAAGAACAGTTGTCAGAATCCTTGCACCCGATGTTGACATGCAAAGGCTTGTTGTGATTAGTGCCTTCTAGGCCTAGCTCATCTCCAAGGAAAATACAAGTAGTTTGGGGTCTTCCAACTAGATGCTCCATGGAGTTAAAGGTGATGTCGTAAGAAACATATGGTTCGTTCAATACCTTCTGCAATGCTTTTTGATATGCCTCGGAGCTCAGAAAGAGTGAAAACAAAAAGATTCGAGCTGGTGTCTATTTCAACTGATCAATCACACTCGAATCACCATGTTTAATTGGTTTCAGAAACTCTACCACCATGTTTAATTGGTTTCAGAAACTCTATAACTTACTCATCATTTACTAGTTTGTTCATTCCATCCTCTTTGAAGGCATTGACACCTCTTTCCCTTTAACCTTTCTCTAATCTCTAGCTCTTCCAGGGGGAAGCAGCTTTCGCTTCTTGTGAGGCTTTCGACCTCAACCATTTCAACTACAAAAGTCTGTATGATAGGTTATGCCTTGCCGATATGGCCATAGCCATAAGGCGTGGCGTGATAATTATCGGTCATTGAAAAACTCGGCATTAAAAAGATCATTCTTGGAGGCCCATTTATAGAAGATTGATATCTGCAGATCTCTGGTTGGCCAATTTTCTTCATTTGTGATGACAACATCCGCACTTTAGATTCCTCTCCGCTCTTTTCTACTTGTAGGTTTTGTAGAACCATCATATAATGTTTTGATTTAATTGAATATATTTTTCAGTTTTTTGAAAAAGGTTGTTAAATATATTAATTTGTTCGTTTGCAATTGCATTAATGATGATTTAATCAAAGATAAAACAAAAATTGGTTAATCAAGTGGATTGCTAGATAAAGTTACTACCCTAGATTTTCATTCATTGATTTAGTTTTATCATTGACGATAATTTCTTTTGAGTAAATGATAGTAGAAATTCTCACAACCTTTGGATTTTTAAATAATTTTAATACATAGTAGGTATGATACAATTCTTTACGGAATTGATATTTGAAACTCATCATTGTCTTACTTGTTAATCGTATATACTTGTAGACGTGATTGAGTGTTTAAAATAACCAATAACAAAAGGCCTTATTTACATCCAAATTGTCATTTTTTTTTACAAATCATGTCAAATGTAATAGTCCATTACAAGCAATTCTACCGTTAATCATTGCATTTTTTGTCACTGTCAGTTTATTTAAAAAATAACAAGTTTTTAAATCTCAAGAAAGAACATTACATTAAAAAAAATACATTACAAATTTTGCAATTCTACCATTAATCATTCCACTTCATTGTTAGTGTAGATAGGACAAATTAAGTTTTTAAATCTCAAGATATCAATAAAAGGGTTTAATGACAAAAACTCGCTCATGTTCTATTACAATTTGACAATTTCAAGTATTTATTATCAGCTTGCGTAATTTGAACCTAAAAATATCGATTTTTGGATAAATCTTATCCAAATTGTATTTTCTCCGTTATTTTTAACAATTAACACAGCTTGATCGCTGACTTTTTTTTTCTTTCGTTAATTTTTTTTTTTAAATGTTAAAACAGCTTATTTTGGAGTTTAAATTATGCAAATTGATAATAAAGACTTGAAATTTTCAAATTGTAATAGAACGGGAGTAATTTTTGTCGTTAAACCCCCGCTAAAAGAACATCACATTAAAAAGAAGCAAAATTTTTTTATTGATTTGTTAGTGATTGTTGTATCGGTAATTAGCAATCTATTTCACCTATAAAAATTGATTTGTTAGAAGTAATCAAGGAAATGTTTCTAAGATTTATTCTTTCTTCTTATAATCAGAATATTATTTTCTTAATCTAATAAAGTTGTTTTGTTTGGATATTTTATGAAAATAAAATTAATTATGTTGCATGAATTTAGATATTACAAAAAACACTAAAAGAGGTGGTGTTTTTCTTGTTTATAATTTGTTCATCCACTCTCATTTTATCGTAAGCTAAGCTACTTTTTTTTTCTTTTTTGCTCTTTATGTTATAGACGACTTTCTCTTTAACTCTTAATCACTCTCATTGTTATTCGAGTGCATTTGTAAAAATCCACACTCTCCTTTGACTAATTCTTTTTTTAATTTTCTTCCTTAGCCTTTTTCCATCGTTTATTTTTTTTTCCTTTGCAATGTAAACGATCTTCTCTTTTGTTCTTAATTACTCTCATTATCATTCGATGGATCTATGAAGTTCCACATTTATCCTTAATTGATTCTTTTTTTATCGTCATTGCCCTCTCCCCCCAAAACACTCTTTTTGTAAGAGGAGAGCAGACTTCAAGAGTAAATTATAAATTAGTCCACCTTTCTTAGGGAAATGAATTAATTAGTCTATCCGATTTTAAAAACTAATATTTTAGTCCTTTTTGCTATTTTTCACTTTTTTGACTTTTTGTTTTAAGAATTAGAAAAGGAATAAAAAATAGTTAAAATATGAAAAAAAATTGATGAGAAAATAAGATATTGTAGAAAATAAAAAATAAATTAGTCGTGGTCGCAATGGTTAGAAAGATTAAATAATTTTTTTTGAAATAAAAAAGACTAATTAATTCATTTCTCAAAACAAGAGGGACTAATTTATAATTTATATATCACTATATTCACATCAACTACATGAAAATAGTATAAGTAATATATAATTTGTAACAACATCAAGATTTTTTGTAGCCGTAAATATAGCTATGGCAATTAATAATTTCATATTTTGTTGGATTGCAAACGAAATCTACATATATAATAGTCGGGACTCATGACTCATTTAATTTGTATTGTTGTTGTATGGGTGAGGAATTCTTGAACAAGTGTGCCTCTTATCGAGCTATATGAATGGATTTCTAGCTTGCGTTGTAATTAATTATTGATAGTGTTTAATTTATAATTAATCTTTCATTTTTTTATAATGGTTTTAAATTCAATATGTCTTAATAATATAACTTTTTTCCTTCTATTATGTTAATTATTAACTATTAATTATTAAAATTAATTCTTGACTCGCCTAATAAATGATCGTGGGTTGTAGAGTTCTATTAACTAAAACTCTAGAAAGAGAATGCTAATTCACAACATCCAATTGCATTGTTCACTATCACTCAATTGTACTCTTTATTTTCATTATTTATTGATATTTTTGCACTTTAGTCGGCTTTATTTACATTGCCATATGGTCTCTAAATGCTTATGTGAGAGAGAGAGAGAGAGAGAGCCATTTCCATCACATCGATCGTCGATATTATCACTAATTTGTTCATCTTCAAGAATAGAATCTATTGGTGGTGGTTTCAAGCCATGAAATGGTTTGAGGAGGTAGATCATGATCCGAAAATATTTTGAGCTTTTTTAGTTTGATTTAAATTTTTATGTATTTTGTTTGCATTCAAATGAATTTTAAGACTCTAAAATATTTTTTTTTCATATCATTTTTCTGATTTTAAGTTGTTTTTGAAAAAAAAAAAA